TACGTACAGTACGTATAATATATACACACAGATATATATATATATATATATATATATATATATATATATAGTCAGGACAATGCTTCGAATAAGGACGTAGCCACTCCGATTAAGGAGACTACTCCTGCAGATAGAGCCCGAGAGCCAACTATTTCCTTTACTTCGAAGCTTGCATTTACGAAGCCAAAAGTGAGACACGCGACACGTCTCAAGACGACCCAACCAATTCTTCTGACGAAAATCAGAAAGAAAAGTCCACTATTCTAGGGGACAAAGACGAATCTCAGAAGCTACCTATAACGGAACCAGAGGAGGAGGCTAACTCAAGTGGTAAACCCGAATCTACGTCCGAGAGTACTGAGCCAACGCGCATAAGTAAGTTAACTACTAAAACCACTGATCTTAAGAATCAGTTAGCCGCACTTATGAAAGGTAAGACTGTTAAACATGTAGATCAAATGTATGGATCAGGAAAGCATGCACAGCACTTACGCGAGCATGTTTCTCCGGGCACTACTGAAGCCCTACAGAAAGGGACAGATCAGTCGAATTAAGTCGAACTGGGATGCCAACAGTAAGCAGGTCGAGTTTATCAACAACCATGACCTCGACACGCTAACCCGTACGCTTAATGCGTTTACGGTCATGCTGGAGACAAATGATATCGATTCCCCAGCAGTAGATTTATGCTTTAATGCAGTCGTTTGACCCTACAGGAACAAGTTACTTGAACCTGCAGCGACACAAGCATGAGCTAGATACTTGTCGTGACTGGCCAACTGTGTGTTGGTTGGTTACGTCCTTATTAAGCAAGGACATGCGCAGTCGAGGACTGAGTTCAATCTTAACTGAACCAGTTGAGAATACTCATATTCAGAGTTACATTCTGAAACTTGATGCTGACCTGAAACGTCCAGATATGACAAAGGAGAAGGCTCAGCGATGGTACGAGTTCCTGGTTATGCATGTTTTTTTATGACACTGTATCCACTCTTTTCCCCGCACACCGAGTAACCTCGAAGGGAAAGGCGGTAAATGAGAAACCGCGCGATCTCCCTGATCAAGGATACCTCTCACGCCAGACATCAGATGATCTCTCACGCCAGACATCAGATGATAAGCCTCATCAGACGCGACCTAACTAGACACATACTCGTGACTCCACTCAATCAACGCGTGTGCCTACGCACAGTGTGGGTATGACATGTACCAATTGACCCCTAACGGCTATTGGAATGGCAGACATGCACCCACCTGAACACAGTTTCTTACTAAGTGTGAAAACCCCTCTTGCGACAAAAAGCCCGACATTAAGTTGAAGTGAAAGTACTACCAGGTAGAATCGTTACAAAGGAAATACAACGACTCCTTAGATGAGCATGTAACAATCCCTGATTTGGAAATATTGGAAAAAGAACTTTGTATTAAATTATTTTAAATACAAATAAAAATTTGATCTTGATATTTTAGACTGACCGGAGGCCGTATTTCTACTTAGCCCCCAGTAGCTTTTAGGACTGCGGAGGTACGTGAAGGTACGATTTAGTTCGTAAAGCGAAAAACGGTTTCGGTCATGGCTTATCGAGTAAGTATGTGTCTATATGTACGAGTTCAAGACTCATGTTGTACTCTATGTCGTTTAGTATTTGGTCCAGTAACCATTTCCGATGTAGGCGCCTTACGTTTATTACTTGGTAAGGTAATAGCCAAATGTTGTTCTTCATTAGTAAGTAAATTCGAGAAAAAAAAACTGCTCTGTTCGAAGGATTTTCTGCTCTGTTGGTTAGCAGATCAGAAAGTTTAGTCACATAGGAAGTAGGTGGCAAATAGGGAATTTCAGATCCATCCGGGTTTGTAGTCACCTGAGGAAACCCTTTCCGTTTATCTCGTGTTTTCTTATGTAATCGCTTATTCCATTTCTTATTAGAACTAGAAGGAAGTCGCGAGATTCACGAAACGCATCGGAGGTTGGCCAAGCTACTGTCCCATCCATAAAACGGGTCTTGTAGTAAGTGTAACCGTCTTCGGATGTTTTGTCAATTATATCTTTGAGTTGTGACTCCATAACTGGGACATCAGAATCAAATAAGCGAGCGAATGAAAGTTCGAAGGTAGGGATACGGTGAGTGCTTAGATTAGTTGCGCTAGTACCATCTATATTATTCACTTCGTAAGTATCACTCTTCTCATCATGGTAGGAAATAACAAAGGGTCCGATTGTTTTAGAAGAGATTTCGGTAAGTTGGGATTGCGATTTATAATGTTAACATAATCGCCAACTTTGAACTGAACAACGTTCTTAGTGTTATTCCATCGGTCATACGCTTTAAGTAGGACACGATTTTTGTGCTCGAGTAAACAGGGGTAAACAACGTTCTACATATGCTCGATCTTTTGTAGCCACGGAGTAACGTGTTTCTCGGGCGCAGTTTTGTCAAACATTTCTTGTAATTCACTACAGCGGCCAAAGAAATAGTGAAACGGGAGTGTTCCAGTTTGAGGATTCATGCAGTTATTCATTTGAGTTTGAACCCATTTCAAATGATAAGGCCACATATCCTTAACGCCATCTAGGGCGGTACGCAATAGCTTCTTCAGTTCTCTATGACGTGTCTCATTTGCACCCTGCGATTGAGGTTTATAAGGAACACCACGCCTATGGCTCATGCCTGATACGAGTATAAGTGCCTTCATTACGTCGGTACAAAACTCCCTCCCGTTATCAGAACATAGTACTCGGGGGAAACCGAAGTCATCAAAGGCGTGATAGCATAACTCTGCCACTGTTTGCGGGTGTTTGTTAGGTATTGCATAAAGCAAGTTATTGCCCGAAGCCACACATAAGAAATGACAGATATATACATCGGCCAAACTTAAGTTTAACGAGGACAAATGTTTTTTTTTGCTAAAGATACTATACACTTACTTGGTTACAATGTATCTGCAGCAGGGGTATAAATTGACCCTGGCAAAAAACAATTTCTGTTGAATTTATCAACACCGATTACTGGAAGAGATGTGAACTCTGTGTGTGGGTTTGTTAACTTCTTCTCGGATTCGGTACCTTATCTTTCTCATTACTTAAAGCCTTTCAGTCACCTACAGCTGCACAAAGAACCTTTGGGAAAGCTCTGGACTAGAGAATGTGGTGATGCATTTGAGCTAGTCAAAAGTAAAGTAATGGACGCACCGATCATGCAATACCCTGTGGATGGCGTCCTATTCCGAGTAGCAGCCGACGCTTCAGATCGAGCGGTAGGTGGAGTGCTATACCAAACGATAAACGGTAAACCACGCTACATACAATTCTTTAGCAAGAGTTCTAATAAGAGTCATCGGAATTACCCTACCGTTAAACAAGAGCTCCTTGCTATAGTTACTGCGCTAAGATAGTTTAAAGACTACCTTTATGGAAGTTACTTCACTGTCGCCTGTGATCAAAAGTCTTCAACATATTTAAAGGACACGAACCCTGATTCACAGTTGGTGAGCCGCTGGCATTACACACATACCAGGAATACATAATCATCTTCCTGACATGCTCTCTCGACATGTTTAGTCGCTTTAAGACTTCCTTAACGAGTTTAGCATGTTCATGTACTGTCTTTGTAAAGATAACTATATCATCTAAATATACTGATACGTTATCCGACAGGTCCGCAAATAGTTTCATCATAACTTGTTCGAAGAAAGAAGGTAACATTTATAAGCCTTCAGGTGCACCTTTAAACTGGTACTTCTCACCTTGCAAAGTAAAGGAAAAGTATTTCCTATGCGGCTCATATATTTGTAATTGATGGAATGCAGCTTTTAAATCTACCTTGGAAAAGATAGTCGCACCTTCCATTTTGCGTAGTATCTCGCTTATCTTTGGTAAGGGAAAACTATGTTGCGGAATTAGTTTGTTGATTGGCGACAGGTCTAGTACTACTCTTGTTTTACTAAACGTTCCATCAGATTTATAATGATCGACCGCTAAGCGAGCTAAGTTTACTGGGGTTGCATCATAAATCATTTCAATTAGACCCTGTTTTAACCAATCTTCAATTTGGGATTTGACAACGTTTTTGTGTCTCCAACTCACGTAGTTATGTGAATGACACTTTAACTTAGAGAAGTCGACGTTTGTTACGTCAAACTTAACGTACCCGTTAGAGAATTAAACATACACCAGTCAGTTATTGCAATCTTTCTGTTTTGTATAATTAAGTCCATAATTATATCGGGAAAAGTGCGGAATCATATCCTTTGCTTCACTTTCCGGAGGTTGAGGTATCGTTAACATGTTATCATCTGACTGATCTTTATTTGGGTCTAGCCCATTAGGCAGACCAGTGAGAGTTATACCTAAACTGAGAAGATCAGTCATACCTATAACTAAACCGTATTTCTGAGACATGTCAGTAACGATTGGGTGAGTCTTTACTTCTCTTCTATCTGACAGCATTATGTGTGCATAGTCAATGGCTTCTTCGCAAGTGGTAACTTTGCCATTTCCCAAGATTAAATTAGTTGTTTCGTTAAGGATAGCCAAATGTGTAGCGTAGGCTAGGGTTTTAGGGTTATATCAGAGACTTCAGTCCCTGAATCAAAAAGTGCTATAACTTCTCATTTATATAAACGGTTTGAAATATACGTTCATCTCCTTTGGTATGGATTTTATTGAACCTTTTCTCATACTCTTGCTCTAGTGCACACATATGGAACTATCAGTACTTAACTTGGGACGTCCGGCATGTCCTTGCAATCATCTTTGTGCCAACCGTTAGTACCCTTGCAAGTAGTACACTCTTTCATATAGTGTCCAAAGTTTGGCTTGTCTGGTGCACACTTAACAGAGTCGTGTTTACCATTCCACTTGCCACCACGTTTAGTGAGATCGTAACCACACTTCTTGCAAGGTGCTCTCTCCTTCCTTTCACCCTTTGGTTCAGTAGAAGGAGGGCCTTTACCACCTCCAGCAGTAGTGCGAGGTTTCTTAGTATTACGCGCAGTGTTATTCTCTATTGCGGTACGCTTAGCGGGCTAGGTAAAGCTCGAGGTAATAAGTACTCTAGTAGATGGGTTGGTATGCTTTTGAATTATCTTCTCAAAGGACCAAGGCATAGATCGCAAATCACCATAGGCGATAATATCATCATTGACATTCTTAAAAAGGTTAGACCCCAAAGTCTCCATCATCTGACAAATTAATAAATATTCGCCAGGATAGGTACGACCTCCCATCCGAGTGTTCATATTTGGCATATGAGCTAGAGCACCTCGAATAGTAGTATCGTTCGCAAAGGTCTTGCGAGCCTCTAGAAGTTCACGGCCACGTGCATATTCAAAGAAGGCGCTAAGTACATTCTCACGCAACTGGCGCCAGGGTAGGGCTTTCCAGTTGGGCTCATGGGCCTTCAAGATATTTTTCCATTCCTCTGACTCCCAGAAATGAATAAAGGCATTTATCATCTGCTTATCTTTAAGGCTGGCAGACTCCTTAAGTTGGTTACAGGCCTTCAGTGGCTCCACTGTACTCTCATTAGTAGATAAATCGACCTCAGCCTTCGCG